AGCGGCTTTTTGACAAAGGGGAGGAGGTTGCCAAAAAAGCCCCGTCTAAACTACTTTCACTTTCGAAAGCTCTGCTCTGCTTTCGAAAGTGAGATCGAAAGAAGATATGCAAATTCCTGTGGAATTTGCATACCCTCTTTCAACACATTAGTGCAGTCTAGATAGGCCCTATGAGTTCTTAAAAAAATGGACTCACAGACAGATGCACAAATCTCTAAAATATATATGTAGATTATCCTAGGATTTTAATTTCCACAGCACACTTCACACATTTTATTCATAATGGATCATAAGCAAGGAAACTTCATGTGCTTTATAAAAGGTCTCCTGTGTATTTTTTAATTACACAAAAGACAAAAGATACCAATAACAAAAATATTTTTTCATATATTAAATAAGACAACAACTAGGTAAAAAGGTGTTTCCAAGTGACAAAATCAAGTAGCAGAGAAAACTTCACAGCACCTCATGTCTCTTTTGAAGGCTAGTTTATTTTTTCCTGAAGAGCTTTGTGCAACTTGTCTCTTTCACCAACAGAAGCTGGGTCAGTAAGAGACATCTCCTCGCTCATTTTATCTCTACCCTGATATTTAACAGCAGGAAGACAATTTGGGACAAGGGGGCATTTTTCAACAACAAACAGAAAATAGACCCTCTATGGATAACAAAGTAAGCGCTTGAAAAATTTCAACTCCCCAAAATAAACCTAAACAAACCCAAAGTTTTGGCTGCAGAAATCATGGTTCCTATAGCCTGTCTGAATAGCAGTTACTGTTCAGAGCATTCTTTTGGTTTTTTTGTGCAGTTGTCCAAAACAGATTATTTAAATGTACATTGTGATGTTGCATTCCATATGTTTTATGAAAATATGTTTATGATGTCAGCGAGAACTGTTTTATGCAAGATGGCTCACATACGGTATTATTGGAAAGGTTATGATTTACTGAATATGATTTTCTCATTTGTATGCATATATCCTTTTTGGTGATGATGTTGGGTATCTGTGTATCTGTATTTCATATTTGCTATTTTGGGTTTTTCCACATGCTAGCACTTCAGGGACTACAACTTAAAAGCCAGATACGGCTTGATTCCTCATTATCTAGTAGAATGAGCCGTGAAAAGAGTTGGCTCTCCTGCAGACATTCCATACTGACACTGGCTCAAGGACAATGGAGTGAGGTGACCTGAATCTCGGACTGCTGAACTGTTCCACAGGTGGTAGGAAGAATCAAATAAAGTTTTCCACCTGTTTGCAGCTGGCTTTACCTCTGCCTCCCCACCCTAAAGGGATACCTGAAAACACATGGAAACAAAGATACTGTAACTAGAAAGATTGGGGAAGAACTGCTGGACCCAAGCCAGAAAGGACACCTCTGGTCTGTAAATAATATCAGAAATTATTATTTGTAACCAGGTTTTTTTTAGTGAATCTAGCTTAAATTGTGTGCTTTGCATTAATTTCTTAGTAATCGTTTTTGTTCTGTTTGCTACTTTTTTGTTCACTTAAAATACATCTTTTCATAGTTAATACACTGATTTTTAGTTCATAATATAACCCAATTTTTGTAATTTCTAACTGGGGCAGGGGGAAAAGCTGTGTGTACCTTCTCTCACACTTAGGACGGAATTAAATTTCATATAATTTTGGGTATGTATCCCAAGGGGGGTTGAACATCTGGGTGCTGTAGTAAATCTCTTAAGCCGAGTCCTTCCAGACCAGATGTCATCAGCAGCTGGTTGTAGCCAGGGCTGGCCCGAGTCATTTTGGTACCCCGGGCCCCAGGCACATGGCGCCGCTCCCGGGGCACACGGCCCAACCTCCGGGTGCACGGCACATGCACGGGCCTGCCCCCGGGCGCACGATGCATGCACGGGCCCGCCCCTGGGACACGTGGGCCCGCCTCTGGGCACCCGACAAATATGCTGCCCAATCCCCCCAGCCACTGCCAATAGCGCACATGCCATGGACGGAGCAGTGCTGGGGGAAGGCAGAGGGAGCGGGAGAGCTCCAGTCTCAGTAGTCCCAAGGCCGGAGGGAGACTATGGAGGCAGCAGATGCACACCCCCTTGCCTATCATGAGTGGCCATGTCAGACTGAAGTTTGCCCCTGAGGTAAGGTCACTGAGGCAAGGTGAGTATAGGGGTTTGGGGTTCCCTGAGGGGCTAGACCCCAGACTGTGGGGGACACTGCGACAGAGAGGTACCCAGAGGAAGGGTACCATGATCAGGGAGGAATGCGGGTCCTAATGCAAGGTGGCAGAGCCATTAACAGAAAACAGGGAACAGGAGGTGAGAAACCAGCTATAAGAGAGCGCTCCAGTGCTAAGTGGAGCTAATTTCCAGAGTGACCAGCAGGAGGTGCTGTGGTGGCATATTGCCATGTTACAGGTGTACACATTATGATACAATCTTTACTTACATAATCATAAGTGGGGGCTTTTTCTCAAAGTACCTCGGACTCATTAAATGAGGTATCTGTTCAATATTTCTCATTGAAGGCTCCACCGAGAGGTGGGGAGGGTCGGCGTCAATGGTGCAGAAATGAAAGGGCTTCACTGGACTGCACCACTGCCAGGTCTCGTCTGCTCTTCTTGGTAGGTGAATGGCCCCAAATGGCTGTCTTCTTTCGCAACTGAGCTGATGACCCAGCCTTTTGTGAAGGGGAGTGCACTGATGCTCCTTATGGTCATCTCTTTGCAGTGCCAAAACTTCCCACACCAAGATCAGGCGCACTGTGCACCATGGGATCCAGTGCTGTGTCTCACATTGTGGCTGAGTGTGAACTCCATGAGCAGAAGTTTAAGCCTCTGGTCTCTTTCACATTTAGTCCATCACGTAAATCACCTGCAAATACTGCACTTGTCTTGCCAACGACCTTCCTTTAGGTAGTTAAAGAAAGCTGCATATAAGGGGGGAGAAGAGCTAGCTAATCTCTTGATCAGAACTCTCAAGAGAAATCAGGCTGTAATTTGGAACACTTTTTTTCTTACTGATAAGAGCAGGGTTGGGCAATAGTTTTTTGCTGGGGGTCACTTCAGAAATATTTGAAGTGGCCCCGGGCCACACAGGAAGAGGCGGGGCATCAAGCGGAAGGGGCAGGGCATCAAGGAGAAGGGGCGGGGTCAAGATACTTCCAAGTTCGCTGCCTCCAGACAATGATTGGTCTGGGGGCGAGGGAGTGCCTTTGCCTGGGGGTGGGGGAGAGCGCAAAACCTTCTCTGCTCTGCCCCCGCCCTGCGAGCAGTGCTCTCCTGTCTCCAGATGCTAATTGGCCTGGGGGCAGGGGAGCAGTAGGACCTCCATGGAGGCCCTTTTCCCCGCCCTTGGATAAGAGTATGATGGAAAAGGCTGAAATCAGAGGGAGCCAAATTTATCTCAGTTCTCAGAGGAATATCAAAGTACTGAGAGAAAGAGCAAATGGAAAAGGAAATAATTTTTGTCCCAATACTTACCTGATTAATGAAGTATTTTAGCAGGATTCTGCTGCCAAAGCCTATTCACTGCATACTTTGTACAACAGGCCATGCATTTACAAAAAACCACAAAATATTACATTGGAGTTGTACTAAAAGACATTTAAGTCGTACATAGTACACAAACTAAGATTAAATGGAAAAAACATAGCACAAAACTCAGTTATAGAATGAACTTCCAAATGTTTATTAGTCAAAATATTTATTCCAAGAAAGACCCAATCGTATTTTATAGAAAGTTCTGAGCTAAATTTTGAATTTACCGAAGCAGTATGTGCTGTAGGATTAGCACATGTTGCTGGATGTACATCTGCCAGAAGAGACATCCTGTCTCAAAGAAAGTTCTTTCACTGCAGACCAGTATTGAAGGGCACCTTTTACTGCTCATATCATTAGCAGGAACATGTTTGCTAAAACTGCAGCTTTATAGAGCAGTGGCTCTCAACCTTTCTTGTCTACTATATGTACCCCTGTTAGGAGTTTGATGTGACTTGTGTACTCACAAGCTACACTTTATTTAAAAAAAACTTGTTTATAAACTCAGACATAAAAATATAAAAGTGTCACAGCACACTATTAAATTGCTTACTCATTTTTACTATAAAATAAATCAACTGAAATATAAACATTATACTTACATTTCAGTGTATAGTATAGAGCTGTATAAATAACTCATCTGTATGAAGTTTTGGTTTGTACTGACTTCACTAGTGCTTTTTATGTTGCCTATTGTAAAACTAGGCAAATATCTAGGTGACTTCATGTACCCCAGGAAAGATTCTGGGTGCCCCACGTTGAGAACCACTGTTCTAGAGTTTACTGCTGAAGAGAGCAAATGTACTTGCTGGATAGTGTACCACTATTCAATGGTGGGAAGTTGAAAGTAGGACAGATTTACACCTTGTCAGAATGTAGGTAGTTGTTAGTGTAATTAACAACTAGAACAATTAACGAAGGGATGTGACAGAGTTCTCATCACTTAGGCTGTGTCTAGACTGCATCCCTCTGTCAACAGAGGGATGCAAATGAAGCACATTGAAATTGTTAATGAAGCCGGGATTTAAATATCCCGCGCTTCATTAGCATAAACATGGCTGCCGCTTTTTGTCGACACGGAGCTTTGTTGACAAAAAACGGCAATGTAGATGCGGATCTGTTGATAATAAACTCTTTTTTGACAGATCCTGTATTCCTCAAAAAATTAGGTTTACAGGATCTGTTGAAAAAGTCATCACATCAAGCCTTAAAGTCATCACATCAAGACTGGTTGTCTTTCAGAAATATAAGGTTTAGCTCAACCACTAAATATGGTCAAGGCAGAAATTATTAGATGAAATTCTATGATCTGTAGTATGCATCAAGTGAGTGTAATCACACGGATCCTTTCTGACGTTAGACTCTATTATGACAGAGTCAGGCTAGACAGCTACAGGAGAGTAGTAGAAGGAAAATATATTTGCCCCAGATTAAATAGGTCCCTGTTCCCAGGGTAAACTAACAAAAGTTGATCCAGAATGAGCAGGAACGTGCTAGAATCAATAAGGCCAATTAAAAACACCTGGGACCAATTAGAAGGCTTCCAGACTCAAGGAATTCAGACTAATCAGAACACCTGGGGGCCAATTAATAACCAGTTGAGACTGGTTTAAAAAAAGCTTCCCTTTTGTTAGCTTGATGTGTGAAGAAGGAGCTGAGGAGAGAAGAGGTTGTGAATTGTCCAGGAGGAGAAATTGCAAACAAGTATCAGGAGGAAGAGTGTGTGGTAAGGAAGGTGCTGGGGAAGGCCATGGAAAAGAGGCCCAAGTGATCATAGCTGTCATGCAACTGTTATTGAAGATATTTGTTGGCAGCTAGAACCTGGAGTAGATGATGACCCCAGGTACCCCCCCCACCTGCTCCCCATTTCAGTACCAGAAAAGGACTGGTTTTGGGAAAGGGCCTATTGGAAGGGCCACAGAGACTATGGAGTTTGGTTTCCCCTCTTTTCCCCATGCTGGCTGATGATGAGAGTAGGTCAACAAACAGCAAGCTGGTGTTCTAAAGAAAGTGCCTAAACTGAAGGCATCTGTGAGCTTGTGTGGAAAGCCATCCACCTGAAAGTGGGGGCCACCAAGACTGAGGAGTTTGTCACGCTATCAATCTATAGATTTTAGAAATGTGCAAGTCTGTCTGTCTGTGAGTCTGTTTGTTCAAGAACTCCTTATAAGCAATAATAGCTACAACCACCAAATTTGATATGTAGCTTCCGCTTAGCCTAACTTATAGCAAGATCAGCGTCTGGTTGTGCCAGGACAACTGGATGTGCCTGGAATTTGATTGTTTCTCATAAATTGGAAAGGGAAGAGTCTTGGAGGGAGTTATACAATGGAATGACCACAGGGGGCAGCAAACACCTCAACAGGAAGCCAGTGACCATGAACAGCTGACACTGTGGCCTGACCCAGAGAGCAGCTGCCAGCTGCTGTATGCACCCCTCTTCTCCTGGACCTGATGAGCACAGGTGGGGATACCTGCATAGCCCTCCTCCCTGCCCCAATGAGCAGCCTCTACACCCTCTCCATTGCCTCTGAGCCAGCACTGGGACAAAGCTGGCAGCTGAGGTGTGGAGCCCCTCCCTCTTGCCAGCACTGGGGCGAAGCCGGTAGCCAGGGTATGCAGCTCCACTCCTGCTCTGGGCCAAACCCTCACAATGCTGGGTAAGTCTTCTAGTAGAATTATATCTTCTTTATCAGTAATCATGGATCTACAGCTATAATGTATATAATGGTATAGAATCATAGAATCATAGAATAATAGGACTGGAAGGGACCTCAAGAGATCATCGAGTCCAGCCCCCCGCCCTCAAAGCAGGACCAAGCTCCACCTACACCATCCCTGACAGATGTCTATCTAACCTGTTCTTAAATATCTCCAGAGAGGGAGATTCCACCACCTCCCTTGGCAATTTATGCCAATATTTGACCACCCTGACAGTTAGGAATTTTTTCCTAATGTCCAATCTAAACCTCCCCTGCTGCACTTTAAGCCCATTACTCCTTGTCCTGTCCTCAGAAACCAAGAGGAACAAATTTTCTCCTTCCTCCTTGTGACACC